CGGCAGGGAGCATCGAGGCTCGAAGATCCAGACCCGATGGCTTTTGGCAATCTCTGGCCCCCTCTGGGACCCCTCGGCCGCCGCCCCCGCGCCAGAGCTCTCGGGAGGCATCGGCAGTGAGGGTCGGGGCTGGATGTGCTTTTGGATGGTTTTGAAACGTCCTCGTCGCGCAGGAGGTGTTTGGGCGTCGGCAGGGAGCATCGAGGCTCGAGGTTTTGGATGCTCTTGAGGCGCTTTCCGATCAAAGTTCCGGCCCAGCCCTTGTGCGCACCAGCCCCCGCCGCCCACGCTAAGCCTTTGCGTCTCGAGCCACAACGGCTTGAACCAGGATGGGTGTTGATGAGGATGACGTCGGTGATGGTGGTGGCGTTGATGATGGCGATGAGGACGACGCTCTTCGCTCCTTGTTCCTCGCTCCCCCCCCATCTTCCTCCTCCTTCTCCTTTCCCCCCTTCCCCATGCCTCCCCTCCCCTGCGCGCGCGCGGGGGGAAGGGGTCCGCTGGGGGAGGGAAGAGTAGCAGGAAGAAGACGACGCGAATGCAAAGACCAGCGCGAGGACGGTAACGGGGATAACGACGTCGCTTCTGGTTACAGTGATGGTGATGGTGGCGATGCTGATGATGCTGATGATGATGCTGATGATGATGACGATGACGATGACGATGATGCTGATGCTGCTGCTGCTGATGATGATGATGATGATTATGATGCTAATACCACTGCTGCTGCTGCTGATGATGAAGATGATGATGATGAATATGATGATGATGAATATGATGATGATGATGATGATGATGATGATGATGATGATGATGATGGAGATGGAGATGGTGATGGTGATGGTGATGACGATGACGACGATCACGATCACGGTCGCCATGCCGCTGACGTGGACCACGGCGATACCGATGTTGATGACGACGACTACGGAAACGACGACGATCATCATGATGATGCTGATGATGATAATGGTGGTGATGATGATGGTGGTGACGAGGATGAGCATGATGATAAGGACTAGCATGATGATGAGGATCTTGAGGATGATGGTGAGGATGATGATGATGACGATGCTGCTGCTGCTGCAGATGATGATGATGATGATGATGATGATGATGATGATGATGATGATGATGATGATGATGATGATGAGGTTGACGATGAAGATTATGCTGATGATGAGGGTGGTGAGGAGATGCTGATAATGTTATGATGGTGCTGAAGATGCTGAGTCTGATTGTAATTGCGAACCTGATGCTGGCCATGCAACGGGACTGGTGGTACTGATGATGCTGACGACGACGATGATAATGATGGTGGTGATGATGATGACGATGATGATGCTGCTCATGATGATGAGGATGATGAGGATGCTAATGATGATGCCGATGTGATGATGATGCTGCTGCTGATTTTGATGATGATGGCGACAATGACGATGGCGATGGCGATGGCAGGGGCGATGACGATTGCGATGGTCATGGCGACCATGAGGATGATGATGATAATGAGGATAATGATGATGACGATGATGCTGATGATGAGGATGCTGATGATGAGGATGATGATGCTGCTTATGATGATGATAATGAGGATGGTGGGGATGATGCTGGTGTTGATGATGCTACTGCTACTGGTGATGGTGATGGTGGTTGTTGTGATGGTGGCGATGACGATGGTGATGGCGATGACGATGACGATGACGATGATGCTGTTGCTGCAGATGATGATGGTGATGATGGTGGGCATGATGATGATGATGATGCGGATGAGGATGAGGATGAGGATGATAACGATGATGACGATGATGCTGATGATGAGGATGATGATGATGATGCTGATGCTGCTTATGATGATGATAATGAGGATGGTGGGGATGATGGTGGTGTTGATGATACTACTGCTACTGGTGATGGTGATGGTGGTTGTTGTGATGGCGGCGATGACGATGATGATGGCGATGACGATGACGATGACGATGATGCTGCTGCGGATGATGGTGATGCTGATGGGCATGATGATGAGGATGAGGATGAGGATGAGGATGCTGATGATGAGGATGATGATGATGATGATGATGACGATGGTGATGATGATAATGATGATGACGAGGATGATGGCCATGATGATGAGAATTACCAGGATGATGGTCAGGATGACTAGATGCTGATGATGATGATGATGATGATGATGATGAGGATGCTGATGCTGCTGTTGTTGCTGTTGCTGGCGATGATTCTGATGATTGGGAGGATGATGATGATGATGATGATGATGATGATGATGATGATGATGATGATGATGATGCTGACGATAATGATGGCATGATGATGATGATGATGATCATGAGGATGACGACGATCATGATGCTGCTGCTGCTGATGATGATGATGATGATTATTATGATGATGCTGATGATGCTGATGATGCTGCTGCTGATGATGATGAGGATGATGATAATGGGGCGGGGCAGCATGACGGAGGAGGAGGAAGGGGAGGAGGAGGGGGACGCTGCGGATAGAGAGGTTGAGGTGGAAGTGGAGGCGGAGGATCAGGGAGGTCAGGTCAGGTCATGTCGCTTGGGGAGAGACCGATCCACCGTCCGCACTACTATCCCCTTGCGGTTCGCACAACTATGATGTCAGAGCCCCCCATCTTCGTCGGGGTCTGCTTGCAGCGCAGGGGGGCCTCTGGGGTGCCCCTGCTGCGTCGGGGTGTCCCACCACACTACCTGCTGGGCAGAGGAGGAAGGAGAGCAAACACTCCACAACGGTTGCGTGGAGCATGTCGCACTTGTTCCGCCCCGCTCTCAGTCTGTCACTTAGGGACTCAGCGTGATATGCTAGATCACTTGCTATTGTACTACCTCGAATTCTGAATGCTGTGGCACATGCTGGAGCAATTTGGGCAGGATTCCAAGCCTGGTCCACTCCCCCTTTGCCTCAGATCAGCCGTGGTCGTCTAAGCATCCGCAGCCCACGTGACCTGGCCATGAGAAACCTCCCGTGTGTCAGTGAAGGGAATGCTGTAGTTCTGCGCTATCGAAGGTGCTGGCATCCAAGGCTTACCCAAACGGGTAGCTCCAGTGGCAGCTGATGGCGTAAAAGATGCTGAGGCTGCGGCCGCTGGAGGGCTGGTGTCTGGCCGCGTCTGCCCCTGGCCCGTCCACTGGCCATTCTTGTCGTAAGTACTTCTATCCGTTCGCCGGATCGTTCAGGTGCTTTGCAGGTGGCTCGTATGCATCTTCTTTGCTCCCGCTGTTGCTCTCGCAGCCCTGTTCATCTTGCACCGATACCACGCCAAATCCTTCGCGCTTGTTTGCAGCAGCCGCTTCGGCTCAGAACGCAGCCGCACCCTCCGCCGCGCTGGCGGGGAGCTGGGCCATCGGCGGCAAGCTGTGTGCCTGACGCCAGGCGGCCCCTGCGCCAACCTTCGGGTCCGACGTGGCGAACAGACTGCCGCACCATGAAACAAATCACGACCCGAGCCCCTCTGTAAGAACGGTTTTTTGAGGGCAGATCTGCCCTCAAAGAACCGTTCTTGCAGAGTAGGCCAGTCTTTCCTCCTCGAAGGCAGACCTGCCTTCAAAAAACCGTTCTTACGGAGTAGACCAGTCTTTCCTCCTTGCAGGTAGGGTCCCGGGGCCCGAGCCCAGGGGCGAGCTCCCGGTGGGAGCACGCGTCCACGCCCGGGCTCCGAGGGAGAGGACGACGGCCCCCCGGCGCTCGGCCTCGCGCCCTCGCCGCCGCCATGCGGCGGCCGGCCGCGCCGCCGCGCCGCCAGGCGCCCTCGCCGCCGCGGGGGGCGCTCCGCGGCCCCGGGCGGCGGCGGTCGGGGGAGAAAAAGATACGGATACGCGTTGTCCCCCTTCGTTTTCGGCCTGTCGTGGTCCTCCCGGGGGATCCTCGTCGTCGCCGCTGGGTTCGCCTCGAAATTCTGGTCGGAGCGCACCCCAAGAGAGGTCCGGGGACAACGCGTATCCGTATCTTTCCGCCCCCCGAGGCGGGGCGGTGCCGGGGCGCTCGTCGCCGCGGTGCTGCTGGAGCTGGGGGGCGGCCGCGGCGCGGCCACGGCGGGCGCCCCCGCGCCGAGCACGTACGCCCAGCGCCTGAGGGCCGCCCTGGTGGATCAGGACCCGGAGCTCCGACCGCCGTGCTTCTTTCCTGTTTTGTTTGTTTGTTTGTTTGTTTGTTTGTTTGTTTGTTTGTTTGTTTGTTTGTTTGTTTGTTTGTGTATGTTCTTTCTGCACACATCTCCTCACTTCTGAAGCAGCTGTCCCTGCGCTCTGCTCCTCCTTCGGCGTGCGGGGGCCCCCTGGGGCCAGCAAGGCTGGATCCGCGCACGGAGGGCCGCCCTGGTGAGGGGGCCGGGGCCCGGGGCGCCAGAGACGGGGTCACAGCAGACGGGGGCACGGGGAACGCCGACTTCCACGCTTGTCTGTGCCCCTGTTTGGAGGGCCCGGGGCTTCGCAGACGGGGGCACAGTGAACGGGGCGCCGGTCTTACATGTAAGGCCGGCGCCTTCCAAGAAGCAGCCTCCTTCTAAGGATCAGAGCGTGGATTACCTACCCCGCTTTCGCTTCCAGGCAAAACCAAGGCATACCACGCGCCTCCTCGTCAAGCGGCCTGACCAGTACAGGCCGTAGTTTGGTATCATTTGGTATCTCTTGGAAGCGAGGGTGGTCAAAAGCGAGGTAGGTTTGGTTTCCCCCTAAAGGAGCCCTCCCCCCTCCCCCATACCGCCCTCTGCGCGCGGCCGATGAGCGGGGGGCATAGCTAAACGGGGGCGCAGGCTGTTCCATGTGCCCCCGTTTTCTGTGCCCCCGTCCGCGGAGCAGACAAGCGTGGAAGTCGGCGCGCCCTGCGCCCCCGTCTGCTGTGACCCCGTCACTGACGCCCTAAGAGCCCGAGCCTCCTCGTGCGCGCCGCCAAGGTTAGGTGGCCCAGAGGGGCTTCTGGGGGTCGCGTGCAGAAGCGATCGTGACGCCCGGGGGCCTGAGGACCCGCGGGTGGCGTTGGCCGGGCGCGCCCAGATCGAGGAGGCCCGCCGGCTGATCGCGCTCGGCCCCGGGGCGTGCGACGCCGGCAGGCGCAGGCATGCGCTGAAAGTGGTCGCGTCGACCACGCACCCCACCGGGTATGCTGGGGAGAAAGCACACCAGTGCCGATGCCCATCCCTCGTCTTTACCCTTCTCTGCCTCCTGGGGTGGCTCTCGTCGCCACGGCTGGATTCGGTCGTAAGGCACCCTGGATGAGGTCCAGAGGGTAGCGGCGTCGGTACATGTCTATCGTTTCGTTCTCCCAGGTACGTCATCCCGAGGCTGCTGAGGCCCGCGGCGTTCGCCTATACGAACATCCCGGTTGTGCTGGCCTCCCTGTTATTCTGCAACAGCGCCGCCGGGATCCTGATCGTCCAAGTGGCGAACCAGTCCCTGAACGCCTGCTTCAACATGGCGAACAGCGCCAGGGGCTTCGCCGACACCAGCAAGCGCGAGGCCCTCACCGACTTTGCCACCGCGCTGCTGCTGGGCTCGGGCGTCGCCATTGCGGCCAGCTGGGTGCGGAGCAGACTGCCGTGGAGCGGCGGCCTCACCGGCGTGCTGGTCACCTACCTCGCCGTCGCGAGCGCCGGCTGTGCCAACATGTGCTCCTCTCGGCGCGCCGAGCTCACGGACGGAGTCGTGGTGATCGGCAGCGAAATCCGACCCCACCCCTCGCCGAGCAACGATTCGGGCAACTCGATAGGCGGCGGGGGGAGGTTTCGGACTCCGTAGAACACATGGCGACATCCGAACCCTGTCCCCGCCTTCCATCGATTCAGGAGACTCGGTCTCCTCCCGCTCCCCTTCTTTCCCCACTCGGCTCGTGACGCGAGCGGCACGCGTGCGAGCTCACACCATGCCGACGTCGCTGTGTTCTTCGCGGGAGAAAAAAGAAACGCTGAGGCAGGATGATTGGTGCTTGGCGGGGGCGGGCTCCGGACTTGTCGCCGCCGAGGTGACGGACCAGGGCGGCAGCCCGATCGGGGTCTCGAGGGCCGCGGGGCGCGCCAGCGTCCTGCGGGCCCTGGGCACCCGGTCGCTGCTGCTGCCCCTGGTGGCCCTGCTGGTGCCCGCGGCGCTCACGCGCGCCTGCGCCGCCGCGTGGCCCGCCCTGGCGGGGGTCGGCCCCGCCTCGCTGGCCCTGCAGACCGCCCTCATCGCGCTCACCCTGCTCGTCGGCCTCCCGGCCTGCGTCGCGCTCTTCCCCGAGACGCTGAGGCTGCCGCTCGGGAGCCCAGGGCTCGTTTCGATTCCCCCCCGGGTCGATTCGGTTCGGCTTCGATGGTCTCCGATTCCGATTCGATGCGGTTTCGGATTCCGATGTGGGATTCAATTTCTGACTGGAGGCCTACTAGCCTGCCGATGTCTGCCGATTCGACTTTTCCCGACTTGGATGCCGATATCCGTCGATCCGATTCGTGTCGCTCGCCGATCCGACTCGTCGATTCGATTCTTGGCTCTCCTGGGAGCCACCCTGGTGTGCGCGGCTCGGTCGGTGCTGCTGCGTCGCAGGCCTGTGGCGTTCGGTCGGTGAAGTTCGGCCGGCCGTCGTCTCGCTCTGCCGCGTCGCTGCGCCTTTTTGGGCTGCTTCTGCGGCCTGTCGATTTCGGTTGGTTTCGGTTTCGCAGTCGGCTCGGTCGGCCTTCGGTTCGGCTGTCGCCATGCACGGCCTTGGAGCCGTGCCTCGGTGGTGCTCTCCGACACTTCGGGGGCCCTCCAAGGGGCGCCCCTCCACCGCCAGAGTAAGGTCCATGTCCTGTGGCTTCGGAGCCGTGCGCCAGGACCTCCTCGCGGAGTGGTGGACATGGGATATTTGGCCGCCCCTGCGGGCAGGGGAATATCCATATCCGCCTCTCCGTAGGGACCGGGGTCGGGGCTCCAGAAGTGGTGGATGTGGATGTATTGTGGCGCTGCAGGCTGGACTCGCCTAGAAATGCTGGTCGGAACTCGCTCCAGGAGATTTCCGGGGTCGATTCTGAGGAGGGAGGAGGAGGAGGAGGGAGAAGGGAGGGAGGGAGGGAGGGATGGGGGGAGGGAGGAAGGTAGGTAGGTAGGTAGGTAGGTAGGTAGGGAGGAAGGGAGGTAGGTAGGTAGGTAGGTAGGTAGGTAGGGAGGGAGGGAGGGAGGGAGGGAGGGAGGGAGGAGGAGGAGGAGGAGGATGATGATGATGATGATGATGATGATCATGATGATGATGATGATGAGGAGATTTCGGTAATCCAACGCCACGGATGCACTTGACGATCCTGAATCGTGCCAGAACGCAGTTCCTGGGACTTCAACACCGCGATTCATCGTAACTGCTGCGCCACCAATATCGTGACTTCTTCCAACACGCCATTCCTAGTACGTCGATCATGGGAATATGTGAAATGCTGGCAACTCTTTTACAAGAATGTGCGCGGCGCTAAGGCGTGAGCCACATTTTGAAGAAACGGAGCCGCCCTGAATGCGTGAAGCTCTGGCAATGTTTGGAGACGAATGTGCGCGGCGCTAAGGCGAGAGCCACATTTTGAAAACGACCCGCCCTCAATCCGTGAAGCTCTTACAATTCTTGAAAACGAATGTGCGCGGCGCTAAGGCGAGAGCCACATTTTGAAAGCGACCCGCCCTCAATCCGTGAAGCTCTTACAATTTTTGAAACATGTGCGCGGCGATTAGGCGAGAGCCACCTCTGAAAACGACCGTCCTTCATCTGTGAAGCTGTTGCTCAATGTTTAGCTTCAGGGGCGTAAATGGTGAGGAAGTCTCAGGCGAAACGCCCGGCCCGCCCTCAAAACTGGTCTCGGGGTGCGACAGGGAGAAGTTATTCATATGTAGAAGGAACGACGGAGGAGGAGGAGGAGGAGGAGGAGGAGGAGGAGGAGGAGGAGGAGGAGGAGGAGGAGGAGGAGGAGGAGGAGGAGGAGGAGGAGGAACAGGAGACACACTGACACCAACCCTGGCCAGGCCGTTCCTGCACCCAGAGTCCTGCCTCAGCTGGGGGCCCGCAGATCTTGGCGTCGAGGATACATTACGGCCGCCTCGAGAGATGTCGCACAGATAAAGGGTCGAGAGCCCCCGTCATAATCTTTTCGGCACTGCGATTTTTCGCTACGTCGAATCTCGGCGGAGGGTGTTTGTTTAGAGCTCGATTCTTTCGAGGCGTAACCCCTCTGACCTCTCGACTCCTTTCCCAGGGCCAGTTTTCATCATGGGAAGAATTTGGATGCTCTCGGGGTCCAGAGCACGCCTCCGGAGGCAGACAGTCGAGCAACTCCTGGCCTATCGATTTTTTCCAGCGGCCAGATGCCTGGGCCACCCCGATTCGGGGGGCAGAATTCGATCTCTGGACTTGTCCGGGGGGCGTCCTGGCCGGAACTTTGGGGCAGATCCAGCCGTGGCGACGAGCTCGCCCTAGGAGGCCCAGAAAGGGCGAGAATTGCCCAACAATTTTTCCCCGCGGTCTTCGATGACAACAGCAACAGCGCAGATCCAACCTGGATCCCCGACCCTCTCCAGTGCTGCGTTCTGACCAGCATATTTCGCAGGGGACCGGCCGAGGCGATGAGGGCGCACCTAGGGCTGCAGAAAAGCGTTCAAAGTCCTCGGCCCCCGCACCTCGATCCCGCTCCCTGGGACTGGGACGGGCCCAGTCGGAGCTGGTGTCAGTGCACAGTCGTCGGTGCTCCCCGCCGAGGAAGCTCGAGGCCCCCGTGCGCGAGCGTGCCGTGGCCGCGGCCGCGCCGGGTCCAGCGCCAGAGTTCGCCTACGTGTTCCGGGGCATGTGAGAGGGTATGGCGGCGTTGCTTCCGCCTCCTGCTCCTCCTCCTCCTGCTCCTCCTCCTCCTTCTCCTCCTCCTCCTCCTCCTCCTCCTCCTTCTCCTTCCTCCCTCCTCCTCCTCCTCCTCCCCCTCCTCCCCCTCCTCCTCCTCCTCTCCGCCCTCCTCCTCCATCCTCCTCCTCCTCCTCTCCCTCCTCCTCCTCTCCTCCTCCTCCTCCTCCTCTTCCTCGCAGTGACAAGATGAAGGGGCCCTGGTGTCCGCCCGGGCGGCTCGCGCCTGGACGCGCCCAGGCGCGCCCCGTCCTCTTCATGCTTCCTCAGGGGCGGCCTCCTCCAGACTGTCCCAAGCACTACTTCCACACTCGCTGGCGCTGAGGTGCCGGTAGCCTGGCGGTGCGCCCAGGCGAGTTGACCACCCAGAGCCACGGGCGCTCCTCCTCCTCCTCCTCCTCATCACTTTCCTCCTCCTCCTCCTCCTTCTCCTCTCCTCCTCCTCTTCCTCCTCCGCCTCCTCTTCTTCCTCCTCCTCCTCCTCCTCCTCTTCCTCCTCCTCCTCTTCCCTTTGCGCTTCTTGGCTGGTGTCTCCCGCAAGACTTGGCGGACCGGCTTCGTGACAAACGCGGTTCGGGTCACGTTCAGTCGGCTGGGGCCAATAGTCTGGCTGACTCATGCGATTGCGTTGTAGTGCCGCTTGCTGATGAAAACTACCTCTGCCGTGCGGCTCCCCTGCGCCTCTCCTCCAGGGAATTGGCGTCCTCAGCAGGCAAACTTGCCCATCATTTCTCTTCCCTCCCATCCCTTCCCTCCCTCCACCCTCTACCTTTCTCCTACTCCTTCCTCCTCCGCCTCCTCCTCCTCCTCCTCCTCCTCCCTCCTCCTCCTCCTCCTCCTCCTCCTCCTCTCCTCCTCCTCCTCCTCCTCCCCCCCTTCGTCCGCCTCCTCGTCCTCTTCGTCCGCCTCCTCCTCTTCCTCCTCCTCCTCCTCCTCCTCCTCCTTCTCCTCTTCCCTCCGTCCGGCTCCTGACATCCTCCTAACTCCTTCCTCCCCCCTCCTCCCTGCTCGCTTCTCCCTACTCCTTGCCACTATAGGGAGTTGACACCCACAAGCCAGGAAGGCAGTCTGGAACACACGGTAAGTAAGACTTCGGGTTGCCCACAGTCAGCTCCCCCCAGGCAGTCCCGGCTGGCCTCAAAAAAAAGTCCCGGCTGGTCTCAGCAGGCCCCCCCGCAGGCCCCCCCCGAGTAGTCCCGGATGGCCTCAACAGGTCCCCCGAGTCGTCCGAGGCGGTCTCAATACCCCAACCCTGGGGCGCTCCGCTTCACAGGGGCGCCTCTGGAGGCGGTGCCGAGGTGGTGAGACCGCCTCGGTCTATTCGAGGGGGCTGTTGAGGCTAGCGTGGGCTATTCGGGGGGCCTGTTGAGGCCAGCCGGGACTACCTGGGACCAGGAACACAACTCATGTTGTGCGCTTTCTAAAAACGTGATGTTGAATTCAGAAGTGCAGCGTTCAGCGCGGAGGCGCGCCTGGCTGCGGCGTGTCGAGCTGTATACTCTGGTCTGCGTTCTGCGTTCTCCAGGCTGTGCTCCAGCAGGCTGGGCCACCATGGCCGACTACACCCGGGCCACCAACGGTATGAGAAGCAACCTGGACTGCTAGGGCCCCCCCCCCCTGGGTCTAGGATCGCCTGGGTCTCCTGGCTCGCCTGGACCACTTGAGCCGTTTGTGACACCTTGGGCCGTCTCGGCCATATTGGCCACCAGCGACTCCTGCGCCGCCTGGGCTACTTGGAAGGGAGGAGGGAGGGAGGGAGGGACGACTGAGCAGGGAGTTGTCGGAGGACGGAAGAAAGACGCCTTGTAGAAGGGATGGGATGGGAGAGGAGGGGAGGAAAGGCGATGGGATAGGAGGAGGAGGAGGAGGAGGAGGAGGAGGGAGGAGGGAAGGAGGAGGAGGAGGAGGAGGTAGGAGGAGGAGGAGGATGAGGAGGAGGAGGAGGAGGAGGAGAGGAGGAGGAGGAGGGGAGGAGGAGGAGGAGGATGAGGATCAGGAGGAGGAGCAGGGAGGGCAGGGGGAGGAGGAGGAGGAGGAGGAGGAGGAGGAGGAGGAGGAGGAGGAGGAGGAGGAGAACAATAAGGAGAACGGATGACGAGGAGCAGGTGGATGCGGAGGACCAGTTTTCAACCCAAGACGCATCAACGATGTTGGAATACACCCTCCCTCCAAGGTCCCTCTTGATAGGCCCATAACATGTATTTTCCAAGTGGGATCTGGCCCATTACAAGACAACCGTCTGATAATCCCCGCTTGTGCCAAAACGCACTTCCTGGGACTTCAGCGCCCCGGATCAACGTGAGTGCTGCGTCGTGACAATCCTAAACCATGCCAGAGCACCGTCCCTGGGACTTCAGCACCGCGAATCAACGTGACCGTTGCGTCCTGACAAGTATAGCTCCTGCCAGAACACCATTCCTGGGAATCCGACCACGCGAACCCTTCAAACGGTGCAGGGTTGCAAGTATTTGAGGACGAGAGCCACACTTTGAAAAGGAGTTGCCCTCGACAGTTGAACTTGGCAACATGTTAAACAAGTGTGCACGGTGCTGAGGCGAGAGGCACATTTTGAAAACGACCCACCCTCCATCCGTGAAGCTGCTGCAAACTTCCAAGACGAATTCTCGCGGCGCCAAGGCGCGAACCGCATATTGAAAACGGTCCGCCCTCCATCCGTGAACTTGCTGCAAGCTTTGCAACACGAGTGTGTGCGGCGCTACGGCGGGAGCCACATGTTGAAAAAGATCCGCCCTCCATCCGTGAAGCTGTTGCAACCTTTGAGCACGACTGCGCGCGGTGTGAAGGCTCGAGCCACACCTTGAAAACGACCCGCCCTCCATCCGTGAGGCTGTCGCACGCTTTTGACACGAATGCGCGCGGCGCAGAGGCGCGAGCCACATTTTGAACACGACCAGTCCTCTATCCATCCGCGAAGCTGTTGCAGGTGTCAAGCTTCAGGGTCATACGGTGGGGGCGTTCGTCCAGGAGGCTTCAGACTCTCGAGTGTTACTAATCTGATGAGGGCGGCGGTGGTGTCCAGTGGCCGATCCCCGATTGGAGTTCCACCGCTTCCAGGTCCTGGGTTCCTTACAGCAAGGCTTTCTTGTCCAATGCCCTCGCCGTGAATGGCGAGGAGGTCTCATGCGAAGCTCCTGGAGGAGCAGGATGACAGGGATGAGCATTCGCAGCAGTAGGAGCAGGAGTATGGGCAGGAGGTCCACGAGGAGCAGGGGCAGTAGCTGGAGGAGGAGAAGGAGGAGGAGGAGGAGGGAAGATCCTCAGCCATTTACTCGCCGGTCGTTGACAGTAGGGTGGTTATCCAGATCTCAATCTACTTCAACCTGCTTCAATAATCGGTATGTGCTTGTTGCTTTTGTTATTCTTTGGGCGTGCCCGAACCCAATCCAGTTTATTATCCGCCTTCCTACTTCCTGTTTCCACCTACTTCTTCCGACTGGCGTGCAGTCTCAACTCAAATTGGCTCGAAGGGCGGACTCCAACAGGCTCGGAGGCCTGGCCAAGACGCGTCACTTCTTCAGACACGCTCGCGGCCCTGGCTGCAAGCGAGAGTGCACACGCCACCGGCGTCGGGCGTTCTGCAATCCACGCCTTCCTATTGGCGGCAGCGCCGCGGGACCGCGGCATGCCTCCTGCCACGCGCGGTGACGGCCCCGGGCAGCGACGAGGGCGGGACTCACCGCAGGAGCCTCAGCCGAGAGTGCGGCCGCGACGGAGAGGGCGGCCACTGCCCTTAGGTCCTGCGGCCTGCTGCACGGGAGCCAGGCGCAGGGCCCTCCGCAGTGGAGCGTGCCCGAGCCTCCTCCCACGAGACGAGGCCCACACGCGCGCGGTGCCCACGGCGGGTCCTCCCCAGCGTGCCTTCTGCGCGCCGGAGCTCCGCGGAAGGGCACCGTGGGCACCACCGCCCTGCCTGGCAGGGGTCATGCGGGGCCCCAGGACGGTGCGCAGAGCTTCGAGGAGGAGGAGGAGGAGGACGATGAGGAGGAGGAGGAGGAGGAGGAGGAGGCGGAGGAGGAGGAGGAGGAGGAGGAGGAGGAGGAGGAGGAGGCGGAGGAGGAGGCGGGAGGAGGAGGAGGAGAGGAGGAGGAGGAGGAGGAGGAGGAGGAGGTCCAGGAGGGCGTGTACGCGCCGAGCCAGGGCCAAAAGGGCGGCCCTGGCCAGGCGCGGCGGCTGCGGTGTGCGGCGGCCTCCTGCGCAGCAGCGGGGGAACACTGCGGCCCCCTCGAGGCGGACCCCGGGGAGCCCAGCGTGCGCACAGTTGGGGGGGGGGGAGGGAGGGGGGGTGCGCCGGGGGGCCCTTCGAGCTGCCCCGCCGGAGCTCCTCCTGCCATCGGGGAGGTGGAGCGGCTCGGGAGGGCGGCGTCGGGCGAGATCGGGGCCGGAGGTGTCAGCGAGCCCACCCTCGCGTGGGCCGCAGATCGCATCGTGAGCTTCCCTGGTGCGAGGCTGGAGAGCTGGTCGGCCACTTCTGGGGAGTGCCTGCGCGCGCCGGAGGGCCACCTGGGTATCATAGACTCCTTCGAGTTCTCACCAGACGGCCAGGAATTCCTGACCGCATCTGCAGTCGGCCCAGATTAGTAGGTCGACCCTGCCAAACCAAGGGTATTCTTGTGTCCTGTGTGTTCGCGACACATGCCTTCTACATTATCGTGGCAATGTGGCCCTCGGAAGGGTCTTGTGTCCTCTTGCGTGTCCTCTCCAATCAATCTCGACTGTAGTGAGTGAACGGCGAAGATGTGGTCGGCCGCCTCTGCGGAGTGCCCGCGCACGCTGGACGGGCCCTGGGCGCCATCAAAATTCCGTCGACTTCTCGCCAGACGGCCAGCGGTGCTGACCGCATCCGACGACTGCTCGGTGGAGATCTGGTCGGTCGTCTCCAGGGGGTGCCTGCGCACGCTGGACGGGCCACCCGTGCAAGGTCTCCTCCGCCATCTTTTCTCGCCAGGAGGCCAGGCAGTGCCGACGGCGTCCGGCGACTGCACGGCAAGGCTCTGGTCGGCCGCCTCTGGGGAGTGCCCGTGCACGGCATCGCTCGGAGGTGTGCATCTTTTCTCGGCGAGGACCATCGAGGAGCGTCCTGGATCATCTGGCGAAAAATACACGCACGGAGTTGAAACATGCACGGGGAATGGCCGTCCGAGCGATGCCCAGCACGCTGGGGGGCCACCTGGACTTTGTCTGGCGTGTAGACTCCTCGCCAGCCGGGCAGCAGCCGCTGACCGCATCTTGCGATTCGACGGCGGAGGTCTGGTCGGTCACCTCTGGGGAGTGCCTGCGCACGCCAGACGGACAGGGCGATGCCAACTTCGCCGTCTTCTCGCCGGACGGCCCAAGAGGTCCTGACCGTATCCTGCGACGGGACGGCCGGGCTCTGGTCGGCCGCCTGGTGCGTGTGTGTGTGTGTGTGTGTGTGTGTGTGCCTGCATGCGCGGCAGGGCCACCTGGGCGAGGTCTGGGATGCCGAGTTTTCGCCCGACGCCCACGAGGTACTGACCGCATCTGATCGGTTGTTCAAAGATGGGGTCCTGAGGGTTGGGGTCCCAAGGGCGAGGAGCCTCACACAACGTAATTTCATCCTTAGCTCCCTTCCTGCCCTTGGGCCCCACCCCTCAGGACCCCATCTTTGAGCC